CAAATTCAACAATCACAAAAAATTCAACAATCATGGATGCAACAACATATTTATCAATATCAACAGATCCAACAATTTCAACAACCACAACCAATGCAAGTGATAAAACCTAATCAACCAGTACCACGACTACAAAAAAATATAAGACCAAAGCTGTCTTTAGCAGCGCATGATACATATCAACCACAACAAATTCAACTTGCCCAGCAGGTTCAACTGAATGATCAAACAAATGGTAATCCAAATGTTCATCGATCAAATATCCAATCAAATGATATTGAAATAATAGATATTTCTCCACCAAATACACCTACAACGATCAATGTATCATCATAACAAAAAGTGTTAAAAAAATATGCAGATAGAAATATCATTACTGCAAGTTCCGATATGTTGAAATGTTTCATGATCAGATTGCCACAAAAATTATGTAGGGTTGTATAAGTATTGGTTTACATATAATAGAACATTCTGATTAAAATTTACAAACACCATCTATATTGTTCGCATGATATGATAATAAAAGTTAAAATTCGTTATCAATGAAAATGACTTAATTTGGAGTACCTTGGCTTGAGGAAAGATTTAACTTGCAGAAAATGTTTACGTAATTAAGACATGAAAATGAAGGTGTGAGTCGTGTCAATTAATTTTTTTTACAGAGTTCTAAATTAATATAGGAACGATCTTCGAAACGAAGTGAATATATGTTGCGAACCAGTTAATATAACAAAATGATATTATTCCACGTGTGTAATAACGCTCTGAAAACTCAAATATATAAGAATACAGCCAGATGGTTAATCAAAAACTTTTTTATGAATTACTATAAAGATTCATTATTAATATAATGAAATCCATAGATTTTTATTACTACTTCCATGGTTTTTTATAATTAATAAAATCAAATGGTTTGCTAATTAAACTATTATAGTCCGTTATTTCCTCACCAGTATAAAATGAATATTTAATTAAATTTGAATCTGCCCCTGATTTTGAAGAATTATTATCATCATGAATTTTGCTTTTTTTCTCCAACTCTTTGAAATCACTCAAAAATTTAATTTGCATTTTTTGTTCTCTGGTCTTTTTTTGTGTCATCTTCAAAGTTTCTTCCTTTAACATAATGTGAACTTTTAATGTGTTAATTTCCTTTTGAAAACTTTTATTCTTACCATGTAAACTACTTGATGATGATTGGATGTTGTTTAGTGATGACGATTTAGCAGCATTTTTTAGATTTTTTAACTCTTGAAATAATAATTGATTCTCTTCTGTCAACTCTTTTCTAACCTTTTCCAATTCATTTATTTGTTCATCATATTTTTCATTTTTTGATTCCAACTTATTATTTAACATTTCATGGGATTGTTCTTTGATATGTATTAATTCATTTAGAGTCTTATGCCTGCTTTGTATATTTCTTTTGTATATTTTAATTTGTTTTGATATTGTTTCATTTAGTTTTCTATTTTTTAATATAAATTCCAAGTCATCATTAAGTGCATTTTTTTCTTCTTGTATTTTGATATTCTTTGTATATAATCCTTTTATTTTATTTATGTATATATTTAAATCTTTTTCAAAAGTATACCTCTCTTTTTCTATGTCAGAAAGAGCTTGACTGACATTTGTAATGCTATTTATTGTCTTTCCCTATTATTATATATATGTTATTTTTTTTTAATAAAATAAATAAATAATTGAATAGATAAATGAATGAATAAACAAACTTACTGGAATAAGCTTATCATTATGATCTAGTTCATCACCATTAGTTTGAAATTCCTTTAAATTATTGTATTTATTTATAATCAGTGTTGATTCTGAACCATTGATCGTTGTAGGTGTATTTGGTGGAGAAATATCTATTATTTCAATATCATTTGATTGGATATTTGATCGATGAACATTTGGATTACCATTTGTTTGATCATTCAGTTGAACCTGCTGGGCAAGTTGAATTTGTTGTGGTTGATATGTATCATGCGCTGCTAAAGACAGCTTTGGTCTTATATTTTTTTGTAGTCGTGGTACTGGTTGATTAGGTTTTATCACTTGCATTGGTTGTGGTTGTTGAAATTGTTGGATCTGTTGATATTGATAAATATGTTGTTGCATCCATGATTGTTGAATTTTTTGTGATTGTTGAATTTGTTGGGTTGACTGAACTTGATGAACATGGTGTATATGTGTTTGTTGTATTTGTTGTAGTTGTTGCATATGTTGTAGAATTGGTTGAACTTGCTGAATATGTTGATGTATCAGTGACTGTTGCATCTGTGGTTGTTGCATGTGTTGCTGGATCGGATGAAATAATTGCATTGGTTGAATATTGTGTGGTTGTATTAGTTGTATTGGTTGTATTAATTGTATTGGACGAACCTGTTGAATATTCTGTTGCATTTGTGGTTGTATTAATTGCATTGGGTTAATATATTGTATTGGCTGTATTGGTTGAACATGTTGCATATATTGTATATGCTGTAGTTGTTGTTGAATATCATTTTTAATATTATAATTATTGTGTATATTATTTGGAATATTACTTGGAATAATGTTTGGAATAATGTTTGGAGCAATATCATTATTATTATTTTGAAAGTTATGATTTTGGATGTTATTGTCATTTATGTCTGTTGGATCATTATCATTATCATCATCATCTATTATTAAAATTTCTTTATTTAAAGAATTTATTTTTTTATTCCAATCTTCTATTAATTTTTTAGAGAGATTACTTTCTGGCTCCTTATCATGACACATATATAGGAAAAAAAACATCAAAAAAAATTTTTTTTTCCAGATATAACAAAAGAATCAAAAAAAAGAACAGTTATAATAATACCCAAGTCAACTCCCAACTATCTCCATAAATATTTACACCTGCCCATTTTATTAAGTAATGTTTAACGCCCTTTTGAATTCTTTCATCTAAAATGCATTCAGGAGTTCGAACAATGTCTTCCATTTTATTTTGTTTAAAAAGGCCCCAATGATGGTTGAGTTAAATAACAACTATTATTGTAGTCAAAAATATTAAAGTATTGAATGAGAATTCTTGAGAAGAGTGAAAAAAAAACAAGCGAAATAATTCGTGTGATCAAAATTAAAAATATCTGCATTAACAATGTTACACGAATACTGCGGGAAATACGCTAATCAATCCTCCAACAGCTATTTATTATTATTATCATCATCATCATCATGTTCTTCGAAACACCTCTGGCCTTTTCTGATTGTTCAAGGAAAACTTTAAGGCAAGCATTTAAGTCACGATTTCACGACATAATTGAATTTTTATTGTGGAACTTTACCACATGTTCATCAAAGTTAATATTAATGCACTTATCCATTTTGGTCATATTTATTATTTTTAACGAAAGAATACAACTCAACCAAATCAGTGCAACATACTTTGTAACAATTTATAAAAGATTGACAATATTTTGGTAATATTTAGAAAGAATTGGCAACGATGCTATCTCTCTTTGGAAATTTTCGAAGGAAAAGTAAAAATTTCGTTTCATAAAATTGATTACGTTGTATAAATCTTTCAATCATTGATCATGATAATGACCACTCACCCAATTTTTTTTAAAACGTTCAGAGGTTGTATTTATAAGTAATGAAAAAGAAATCACTTGATTAAAATCGAACCTTTTCCAAAAATGTGAAGATACCATTAAAAAATTTTGGGAATTAATCCATTATTGATTTAGTATTAGCATCGCCAGAAAAACAATTTGGAATTTATTATTTTAAAAAAATATTTAAAGGAAATCAATCAAGTTTTTTTTCTGAAAAGATTCTTGTCTTTTTGGAAAATGAAGAAAAATGTAACAATTTGGGAAATTGTTTTATTAAAATATTATTTCTAATATTAAAAACGACAATGCCTTTTATTATTAATTTTCTAATATTAAAAACGACCATGCCTTTTTTGAAAGTGTGAAGAAAAAAACGTAACGATTCGGAATTAATTCAACTTTTTAATTTAATTAAACATCGAACCGTGCCTTTTTTTGAAATGTAGGAATTGAACAAAGCTTTTTTCGAAAAAGGTTCTCCTGTTGCTTATTGTGAAGAAGAAAAATTCAACAATTCGAAAATTTGATAACAACCATGCTCTTTTTGAAGTGGCAAAGGAATCCTTGTCAATATAAAAAATTGTGGTAGAGTATGAATCGTAAATTGTAAAAATGATGTTGAATTTTACAGGATCCTTCAAGAGTTAAGAACAGGAACTTTGTCAGTTAGAAGCAAGCAAATAATCCAAACAAAAATTAACCAAGAAACTGACCTTTGTAGTTTCTATGATACCACTCATGTGATTGGCACTCAAAAAGCAGCTCAATTCCTCAATGCAATATTCTTTAATTACCTCCCTTTTGATGAAACATGCAATGATCCAATGGTTTCTGAAATGCATAGACACACTGGAATTTGAAATATTAAATGATGATCACTCAATTGCTCAATTCAAAAACTTAACAAACTTGCCTTATAAATTGTATTTACAAGAAGGTACATGTGTTAATAATAAGCTATTTGATTAAAAAATATGCAATGTAACTATTGGGATAGTGACAAAAATTTATGATGAAGAGAATGTCAAGGTGACCTTTCCTACCTTGGCCAGCATAAGCAAGGTTATTGTTCAAAGAGAAACATCTTACTTTGAATTTTATGGTAAGAGAGCATCAAGGAATCAATTTCCTCTTCAGAATGCATTTGCTCTGACTGTTCATAAAACTCAAGGATTGACCTTGCCACATGTAACATTGAATGCTGATGAAAGTATGTTTGCTGAAGGACAAGTGTATGTTGCAATGAGTCAAGCTCCCTCATCGGAAAAACTGCAAATCCTTGATCTTGATTATTCTCAATTAAAAAATTTCCAAGGCAGTCTTGGAAGAGTATAAAAGATTGGAGGCTGTGAGCATTGATGGGTTGCAAAAACTAACAATGCTGTGTGATGATTACACGAACTCGCAGCAACCTATTAAAATCTTGTTAATCGTAATATTTAATAATATCAATAATAATAATAATAATAATAATAATAATAATATTGATATTGATATTATTACCGTTAACGGATTAACGGGTTGTAATAGTAATTAATGGTATTAGTATTAGTAATAGTAACTCCAAATCCTATAATAATAAGCTAACCGTAATCTGTTAACAAACCCATTATGCAAAATTTCTTTGTTAACCAGTCACCCATTAATTATCGGATAAGGTCTTAGCGGATCTTAACACTATGTTAAGTTCACTCAATATGACTAAAATTGGATGACTTGTTATAGGAACAACTTGCCGTGATCAAAAACGTTCATAGTAAAATATTTTATTTATATCTATGGACTGCCTTTTTAAATTCTTCTCGTTTATCCTTTAAATGTTGCTGAACTTGGGGAGTATTTTCCTTTCGTTTTCGGTCTAGTTCTTTGGTTGATTTTTTTTATTACTAAATGTAGTTTCTTTGATTTGGCTGGAACTGGGTTAGAAGAAACTTCATTAGATCAAAAACATTCTTAAAAAATCACGTAAGGATTTTTCACAATTACACGATCAAAAAAATTTGCTGAATTATTATTATTTCAAATAATTAATTATCTACATCTAATCTAGTTACTTGTGAAAATATTCTTAGAAATAATAGCAGTCTTCCAATGGTATTTATAATATAATTCTCCTATATACTTGTATACAAAAAAATACAAAAAAAAACAAAAATTGATGAAAATTCTTTATGGAAAAATATATATGAAGCCACCACCACCTCGTCCGCCACCAACAGCAACAACATCATCATATTCAAATGTAACTCCAAATCATAAATCACTCATTGATAAATATAAGCTTCATGAGGCTGTTAAACAAGATGTTGTTCCAAATGAGCCACCAAAAGTATGGGAAGCTACACCTGAAAAAAGGCAAAAAATATTACAAATGAAAAAAGATGCAATGGTTTTACAAGCTAGAAAGTTAGTATTTATTATTATTATTTTTATGGGAAGAAAATATATAACTAATTATTATTATTATTTAAAGACGGTTTCTTGCTCAACAAAATCAGAAATCTTCATCACAACCAAATAATGAATCTAAATCATCAATAAATAATACTGACACTAATATTAATACTAACGCTTCTATTAACTAACACCATTACTAATGAATCTTAATATCAAGAGAACTTCTACATTACAAAAAAAAAATTTTAAAAATTAGTATATAATAAATTATAACCATTATAATAAAATATAGGTCAAATTTTTTTATTATTAATAAAAATGACTTACAACATCTAAAATATGTATCTAAACTTTCTATTAATTTATTTAAATTAATACTTAATAGACCATCCATTACTTGCAATGCATGCCTTGATTTCTATCAAGTATGTTTTCAATTAATTTTAAGTAAACATCTATTGGAATTTTATTCCATTCTTCAATTAAAACGACCTTTAATTCATTCAAATTTTTTCTGGGTTAGATTTTTCAAATACAAGTCTCCAATTCATTGTTATTTGAGTCAGGAGACTGACTGTCTTGACCAACCTTATAAAAATTTGTTTTAACCATCCTTAGCGGTATGTATGGATGCATTGTCATCTTGAAACAGATAACCTTGATTATTAAAATCATTGTTAATGGCAATTTTACCATCGATTTTTATAAATGAGCCCAGAAGAACAGCTCCAAAACATTACAGCCACTATCCACGCGGGAAAGTATAAATTTGATATTTTCCTCTTAAGGAGATTACTTTAGAATTAAAGGTGAAAATAATCAAATGGCTGCTCAAGTAATAAAATATTTAAAACAAGGAATAGCCTCAGATGATGGTTACTGGTGGAATTGGTGTTTCTCTTCATTTTATGGTGCAGCTCATCTGAAGACGCCAACAGTTGCGCCACGGCCTGGAATTTTGTCGAATTTATAAAATATATACAGTATTTATCTATTTATCTATTTCATTAATTACAAACTCGGGTATTCATTCGTCTATGAGACTTATATTTCCGAATTGCATATTCTGCTGAATTCCCTGTCAAACCTTTTCTGTAAGCATCTATCCAATGTGATTTTCTTGCAAAGTTTTTTATCTAAAGCTTTAGGAGCCACCAACTGCAAACTAGACCAGATGTAAGCAGGACCCTGGAAACTTACATTAGATGTTCCTAGAAAATTTTTACTCGGCCTATTGTCTATAAACTTTCTATTAGCGGGATATTTTTCTACAAAAATTGGATCTTATAGGTAACTATAATGTTGCACTTTTAAATTTGCATTAAAGGAATGTGGGTTTACTGGTTGTGTCCACATGATGATATTGATATTGAACCAAAATTTCCCAGGTTCAAAATGTTTTGATAGGTTAAAAGTCAAATAATTGTCATGTGACAAATTTTCATTTTTTTATCCACATGTAAAACTTGATAAATCGGACGCAACAATCAATTCTTTAAAGCAATTGATGATATAAATAAATGACCGACCTATCGAATTCACACGTGTATTAATTAAATAAAAGGAAGAAGTTCTGGGAAGTATCCATTACACATTCTTATTTATTTTGCTAGTGTACGTAATTTTCTGCATCGTAGAAACAAATTGGAACGTTTTTTTGCCTGCGCCTTAACGCATTTATACATCGAGTCTCAATCATTTCAGAGTTTTGTGTTTCATAAATTGAAGAATGAAATGAAATCAATCAATTTGAGGGTATCTCTTGACTGGATACACTCGCTATAATACTCACGCAGCTTTTCTCTTATCTTATCTAGTGAATCTGATCGTTTCTATTTCACTTTCTTGTCTTATCTTTCATATTGCGAGGAATGAAATGTTAGTATGGGCGGATTTTTGGAATTGGACCTTTTTTGTCACTTTATTTGTCACCTAATACCTGATGATTATGATCACAATATTAAAAAATCCCAATTAAACTAAGAGAACAACAAAAACTCGTAAAAAACCCCATTATCTGTATGTATATATGTATTAGTATTAGATGCTATTTTGCAAATTTACATACTCCATTGTTAAATTGAAATACATAAAACTCTAATGTCAGGAAGTATGAGATCGATCATTTATCTAGACCAAATATTGATTTATTAAAAGCAGCTAGCTTCTTTTGATAAACAATGAAGCACAATATACGATTGTTTTATACATGGCTGTTGTACATGAATTTTGAATTTGAAATTCACGCGCGTGAAATTCGAATTAACCATTCGGAATTTTGTATCTATCAACCATTAACCTTTTTTCGTATAGTTGTTAAATTAGTGTTATAACCCGATTGTTTAACGGATGGACCCGTTAAGGGTTTTTTCATACGGATTGGTAATGGGTTAATCCGTTAAAATAGCAAATATTATTGGATAATATTAACAAAAAACCAAAAACATTTATTGTTGGAATTTAAAATAATAAAATATTTATTTATTTAATTTGAAGAATGAATACATAAAAAAAAATTATTGTTAATATTAACGGATTTAATGGATCGCTCTCCCAAATTTAAAAAAATAAAAATGAAAAAGAAATCACTTGATTAAAATCGAGCCTTTTGAAAATTAAACTTTTTTTCTCCTATTACTAAAAAATACCAGCAAGAAATTAATCCATTATTGATTTAGTAATAGCATCGCCACTAAAAAACAATTGGAATTAATTCAAAAAAATTTTAAAGAAATCAAGTTATTTTTTTGAAAAGATTCTTGCCTTTTGGAAAATGAAGAGAAATGTAGCAACTTTATTAAAATATTATTTCTAATATTAAAAACGACATACCTTTTTTGAAAGTGTGAAGAAAAAACGTAACGATTCGGAATTAATTTTATTATTGCTTTTCTAATATTAAAAACGACCATGCCTTTTTTTGAAAGTGTGAAAAAACATAAACGATTTGAATTTTTAATTTAATTAAAACATCAAGCCATGCCTTTTTTTGAAATGTGGAAAAAAACCGTTATTGTTGAAGGAATTGAATGAAGCTTTTTTGAAAAAAGTTCTCCTGTTGCTTATTGTGAAGAAGAAAAATGCAACATTTCGAAAATTTGATTCATTATTTAACAACCATGCCCTTTTTGAAGTGATGAAGGAAATCTTCATCAATATAAAAAATAGCAGTAGGGTATGAATTGTAAATTGTAAAAAATAATAATAAACAATAAATAAATAACAAATAATAATTATAAAAAAAAAATAAAAATAAAATAACATGTGTTCTATTTTTTGTTGCCAATTGTTTCATTAAACACATAATTTCCACTGAAGGAACAATCAGCAGAACTGCTCTTTATAGAAATGACAATGTTTTTAGAAAGATTATCTTCAAAGGATATTATGACAAGGCAAACAATGTGTTGAATTTTTCCAAGCATTCAATTGTTGCCTCCAAGCATTCAATTGTTGCCCTGGTTGGGAGATATGTTATGGAAGAGGGAGACAAATATGTATGTCTCAATTTCAGAATGAACAGTATGAAATATATAGCATTTTATGTAATAGTTAGGATAGGAGATCAGATGGAAAATATCCTTACTTTTTTTTAACTGGCTTGGCTGGAACTGGCGAACTTTTATGACCAGGCAAATAATTAATTTCCTCCAATCAAAGAATAAAAAATACCTATTGGTAGTTCCCACTGGTGTTGCAGCCCAAAACATTGATGGAAAAACTATACATTCATCCTTAAAAATAAGATTTTGGGAGGGAAGTTATGAAACATTAGCCCTTTCCAATCCTGCAGATGTAACAGAATTAAAAAAGATTGAGGCACTTGTAATTGAAGAAGTGTCAATGGTTGATGGTGACTTTTTCACATTTGTTAGCAACACCTTTGCTAAAATTCATAAAAACAATCTTATCTTTGAAGGAATACCAACACTTGTCATAGGACCTAGCTCAATTCCCTCCAGTTTGTCCTTCTCAAGTATTTAGATCACCAATTTGGAAAAAAATTTTACCATTGTTCTTAACTACACCACAAAGGCAGATAAATGATGTTGAATTTTACAGGATCCTTCAAGAGATAAGAACAGGAAATTTGTCAGTTAGAAGCAAGCAAATAATCCAAACAAAAATTAACCAAGAAACTGACCTTTGTAGTTTCTATGATACCACTCATGTGATTGGCACTCAAAAAGCAGCTCAATTCCTCAATGCAATATTCTTTAATTACCTCCCTTTTGATGAAACATGCAATGATCCAATGGTTTCTGAAATGCATAGACACACTGGAATTTGAAATATTAAATGATGATCACTCAATTGCTCAATTCAAAAACTTAACAAACTTGCCTTATAAATTGTATTTACAAGAAGGTACATGTGTTAATAATAAGCTATTTGATTAAAAAATATGCAATGTAACTATTGGGATAGTGACAAAAATTTATGATGAAGAGAATGTCAAGGTGACCTTTCCTACCTTGGCCAGCATAAGCAAGGTTATTGTTCAAAGAGAAACATCTTACTTTGAATTTTATGGTAAGAGAGCATCAAGGAATCAATTTCCTCTTCAGAATGCATTTGCTCTGACTGTTCATAAAACTCAAGGATTGACCTTGTCACATGTAACATTGAATGCTGATGAAAGTATGTTTGCTGAAGGACAAGTGTATGTTGCAATGAGTCAAGCTCCCTCATCGGAAAAACTGCAAATCCTTGATCTTGATTATTCTCAATTAAAAAATTTCCAAGGCAGTCTTGGAAGAGTATAAAAGATTGGAGGCTGTGAGCATTGATGGGTTGCAAAAACTAACAATGCTGTGTGATGATTACACGAACTCGCAGCAACCTATTAAAATCTTGTTAATCGTAATATTTAATAATATCAATAATAATAATAATAATAATAATAATAATAATATTGATATTGATATTATTACCGTTAACGGATTAACGGGTTGTAATAGTAATTAATGGTATTAGTATTAGTAATAGTAACTCCAAATCCTATAATAATAAGCTAACCGTAATCTGTTAACAAACCCATTATGCAAAATTTCTTTGTTAACCAGTCACCCATTAATTATCGGATAAGGTCTTAGCGGATCTTAACACTATGTTAAGTTCACTCAATATGACTAAAATTGGATGACTTGTTATAGGAACAACTTGCCGTGATCAAAAACGTTCATAGTAAAATATTTTATTTATATCTATGGACTGCCTTTTTAAATTCTTCTCGTTTATCCTTTAAATGTTGCTGAACTTGGGGAGTATTTTCCTTTCGTTTTCGGTCTAGTTCTTTGGTTGATTTTTTTTATTACTAAATGTAGTTTCTTTGATTTGGCTGGAACTGGGTTAGAAGAAACTTCATTAGATCAAAAACATTCTTAAAAAATCACGTAAGGATTTTTCACAATTACACGATCAAAAAAATTTGCTGAATTATTATTATTTCAAATAATTAATTATCTACATCTAATCTAGAGCTCCAGTTGACCAGGATCAACATATACAGTGTGTTAAGAAAAAAAATGATGGGTTGTAAAATATTGTTTTAATGGAAAAAGTAGCCAGAGAATTGGAGGATCTTAGATTATAACATATAAAAATTTTGAAGCATATTGTTATGTAGGCTTTAGAGCAATTATTACACATTGAATCAAATTCCTTTTATTTCCCAATTGACAAAATCTAAAAGTATGTTAAATGAATCTAAATTTATTTAATCATGTAATTGTTGAGATATGCAATTTTTTGTCACCGCCGTTTTTTTCTTAACACACTGTTATACATTAAACAGTAAATATATTACATTGTAATATTAAAAAAAAAGAAAACGTATCTATATTTAAACAATATATTTGGTGGTGAACAACCTTGTTACACGACCATCAAGGAAAATATTATTACCAGAGAGGTATTATCATTAATAATTATATTTAATAATTATATTAAGAATCAATTAATACCTTATTCTTTTTTCAGAAAAAAAAACCTGATCTACGATTAGAAAATCTACACACACTCACCTGCTAAAAATATCTGGATACATTTAGCAGGTATCAAGGAAAATATTATTTTATCAGATTATTATTAATTGTATTAATGCTTTTATCATCCCTTTCAGAAAAACTAACCTACGATTAAACAATCTATTTGATGCTTGTTACGCGACCACCAAAGAAGAAATATTCTTATAGAACATTATTTTACACCATCACCAACAAAGAGATCGAACAAATAAACATATAAAATGTGCATATAGACCTTTTTGGGTTATAAAACCTTCAAGAATGATTCGATTGGATTAGTAAATAAAGTGTTCTTACTTTTTATTGGTTGGAAATTTGTTAAATGTTGATCACATGAAATGTCATTAGTATCTTGCCTAAAGTCTGCACTCTAACCATCATTCCAATCAATTACATCATATGATCATTTCTACTTCACCAACTTGTCTTGTGATCTATATATGATGCGAAATTATTATTTGATCGTGCACTATTATTAGTCAATTAAATTAAATTATGATATCAGCAAGTCTCTTGCCTGCAAAATTTATAGGTGCCAATTTTGGGTAACCTTGTGCCTTTTTTTTAATTCCTCCATGGTAACGTGATACGTCATCGTAAATTAGATAAATTTGATATATAAGGCATGAAATCACACTACCAAAGATGACCATATTAGAATGTATTTTCTCTACAAGGCCAATAAAAAGTTGTGCGACCGTTACTTGTCGCACAATTAAACCTTAATTTTTATTGGCCGATCTGAAACGATTTATAATACCCTGATTTCCATTACTATTACCTAATAAGGTATCGTACAACAAGGGACAGAAACACTCATTGTATGACAATAATTCGAAATTCTTGGCTGCATTTTATTTTTAACGAATGGTGCGAAACGGTGACATACTAGGCAACTTATGTATTAATGTCATTATTCACTTATAAAAGAATGAAGAGAATGAATGAAGAGAATGAAGAGAATGAAGAAAACGAATGAAAAGAATGAAGAAAATGAAGAAAATGAAGAAAATGAAGAATATGAAGAATATGTTGTAACAGTAATAATTAATGCAGTAATTGGTGGATATAATCAATCTCTGATAATCTTGCGCTAAATCTTTAAATTAAATTACATCGCTAATTAATTACTTGTTTTTTTTTACAAAAGAAAATTCCGCCATGCGAACGACACATTCCCAAAACTTTGACTTTATTTATTACTTTTTACTATTTTTTTTTTTTAATCTTGGTACAAATGATTCTTACAATCGCAATCAACCGAGTAAAAAAAAAATGGGAATTTTGCAGCAACAATTCGGTAGATTACGCAATGATAATAAAATAACCAATAAAATAACCAGTCAAAATTAATTGTATAAATATGTGTATAAATACGTAGATCATCAGCATCAATGAAAAAAAAATTCCCAACTTGTTTTGTGTTAAACTTGTTTCTAGTTTTCTCCTTTTTATAAAAAAAAAAATTATATATTTTTTTTTTTTTGAGATATAATAAAAAATGGAAAATTTTCAAAGATCAAACAAAAACACATTAAAAAAATATCGGATAAAAAAGGATAGCCAAGAAAAAAATTGTGTTTATTTCGAACTAGTACAATATCAATGTGACATTAACAACGATCGTATTATATGTGTGCCTTTTGTCAGAATATTTAAAAGGTAAATAATTAATTAATAAGTTAAATTGAGTGTAAGAGAGAGAATATAAAATTAATCATCAATTGGTTGTTGCAATTTATTAATACTTGTTAATAATTCAGATGTTCGAATAAACCTTTCGTAGAAGTAACACCATTCTACGATGAGAATATGGATCCAATTTTGTAATACAATGATTATAACTCACGTGGTTTTTTATCTTGCAACCAAAAGGCTTTTAAAATTGATTGATTTAGTTAGATTATATAAACTTTATTAATAAATATTTTTATTTATTGCATATAATACACATTCAAGTTATCAATCAATCTATCAGAGTTAGTTTGTTATGGTGAATGAATCAAAAGATAATCAAAATATTTTTTTTTACCCAAATTACTAATTATAACTAAAAAAGCAATTTCCTTTTTTTTTATTAAAGTTTTATTTTTCACGATTATTTTTCGATCTAAAATATGTTTTGAATAGTTTTGAATATTATTGTGTTATTTATATTATTTGTTTTACTGATAACAAATATGGGGTGCGTCTGTGATGTGGTGTTAAGAATATTTTTCAATTATTAATTTGCTTATTAAGTATTGTGTGGTTTGCCGTCGAACCCCGCGATAGATATTTAAAAAAATATAATAATATATATAAAAAAAATTTAATATAAAAATTTAATATTAAACATTTTATTTTTTCCCAAAAAATTTCTAAAAAAAAATTTTTTTTAAAAATAATTACTATTTACTAATTACTTGGTTTACTATTTTTATTTCTATTAAGGGAGAATTTTAATAGAAATAAAATTTTCTCTTACCGTCATTATCACTTTCGCTCAATCGTTAATTTTTTTTTTTGTAAATTTATTAATTAAATAGATTGTAAATTTATTTTCATATACACTTTTAATTAAAAAAAAAAAAATAAAACACACGTTATAAAATATGTCTTCAGAAGAAAAGCCTTCGTCCGATAATATTATCGAAGAGAAAATAATCGAAAAAACAACTGTACAAACAATATCGTCGAAAAATGATACAAAAGAAAAATCAAACGTTGAAATAATAGAGCAAAAACATGTTGAGGTATCGGAAGATATACCTCCTGAATTGGAGGCTTTACTGCACACCGATCCTTCTAAGGGTCTAACCGCCGAGGAAGCTAGACAGCGTTTAGAACAATTTGGCAAAAATGAATTAGCTGAAGTAAAAACAAATCCTTTTTTAAAATTTTTGTCCTATTTCACCGGTGCTATCGCTTATCTCATTGAGATTGCCTGTATATTTGCTGCTATATTACAAAAATGGGTAACTTTTTTTTTTTTTTTTTTTTTCCACCGATTAATAATAAAATTTTTTTTCTTAATTTATTAATTTTTCCCTCTTTTCTTTCCTAATTTAGCTTGAATTTGGTATTATTGTAGCTTTGCTTCTTGTAAATGCCTTCATTGGTTTCTTTGAAGAAGCTCGTGCCGAATCTGCGTTGGATGCTTTAAAACAAACCCTTGCCTTAAAAGCTAAAGTATGGCGTGATAGCCAATTTATTGAAGTCGAAGTTTCTGATTTGGTTCCTGGAGATGTCATTGGTCTCAGACTTGGTGATATTATTCCTGCTGATGCTCGTTTACTCGGTATTTCTGTCACTGGTGCTGAAACTGAAGGTCATCTTTCAATAGATCAATCCGCTTTAACTGGTGAATCTTTACCTGTTGAAAAAAAGAAGGGCGACACCGTCTATTCCTCTTCAATAGTTAAACAAGGTCAAATGTTGGCTGTCGTAACAAAAACTGGCGCAAATACTTTTATTGGCAGAGCTGCTAATTTGATTTCAATTACTGTTGAACAAGGTCATTTCCAAAAAGTTGTCAACGCCATTGGAAATTTCTTAATTTTGATCACTGTTGTTTTGGTTTCTATCATCCTTGTCTATCAATTGGTTAAATACAGAGGTACCGATAAAGGTCATCCACTCGTTGTATTAGGACATGTTTTGGTTTTAACTATTGCTGCTATTCCTGTCGGTCTTCCTACTGTCTTGTCTGTAACTATGGCTGTTGGTGCAAAACAATTGGCTGCCAAAAAAGTCATTGTTAAACGTCTTACTGCTGTTGAAGAAATGGCTTCTGTTTCTGTACTTTGTTCTGATAAAACTGGCACTTTGACTCTCAACGAATTGACTTTTGACGAACCTTACCTTTGTCCTGGCTACACAAAAGATGATATTTTACTCTGTTCCTATTTATCGGCTGAACCTGGTGCAAACGATCCTATCGAATCTGCTGTTCGTTTTGCTGCTGAATCTAGTTTGGATGTATTAAAGGATAGGACAAACAAGAATGAAGTTCCCGGGTACAAAGTCACTGCTTTTATTCCTTTCAATCCAACAACAAAAATGACAAACGCCACGGTTGCAAATCTGGATACAAAAGAAGTTTTCAAAGTTGCAAAAGGTGCTCCTCAAGTTATCATTAAATTAGTTGGTGGCGATGATGATGCTGTGCATGCTGTCAATGCTTTAGCTAAACGTGGTCTACGTGCTCTTGGTGTGGCTCGTACTAAACCTGGAAATTTGGAAGACTATGAATTGGTTGGTATGATCTCATTATTAGATCCTCCTAGACCTGATTCTGGTGAAACAATCAGACGTTGTAAAGGATATGGTGTGGAGGTTAAGATGATCACTGGTGATCAATTGATCATCGCAAAAGAAGTCGCTCATAGACTTGGTATGAATCGTGTCATCTTGGATGCTAATCATCTTGTAGATCCTGAAAAAAGCGAAGAAGAAGTCACCCAACATTGTGAAAGGGCTGATGGTTTTGCTCAAGTCATACCTGAACATAAATATCGTGTGGTTGAACTTTTACAAAAACGTGGCCTGCTTGTTGGAATGACTGGTGATGGTGTAAACGATGCTCCTGCATTGAAGAAAGCAAATGTTGGTATTGCTGTACATGGTTGCACAGATGCTGCTAGATCAGCCGCAGATATTGTCTTATTGGCTCCTGGTCTTTCCACAATTGTTGATGGTATTATTACATCACGTGCAATCTTTCAGCGTATGAGATCTTATGCTTTGTATCGTATCACCTCCACCGTTCATTTCTTAATTTTCTTTTTCTTCATCACACTGATAGAGGACTGGGAGATGAGTCCAATTCTTTTGATTCTTATAGCTTTGTTGAATGACGCTGCCACTTTAGTCATAGCTGTAGATAATGCAAAGATTTCATCAAATCCTGACAAATGGAGACTTGGACAATTGATTACTTTGTCATTGGTGTTAGGTGTACTTTTAACAGCTCTTTCATTTGCGCATTTCTATATTGCAACTCATGTTTTTGGAATTGATAAAGAAGACGAGAGATTAGAGACTATCATGTATTTACACATTTCATCAGCTCCACATTTTGTCATTTTCTCAACTAGATTATCGGGATACTTTTGGGAAAATTTACCATCACCAACTTTCTTCATAGCTGTAATGGGTACTCAAGTATTTGCTATGTTCATCTCAATTTATGGTGCCTTAACTCCTGCTGTTGGATGGGGATGGGGTGTTGGTATCATAGGAGTTTCATTGATATACTTTGTATTTTTAGATATTGTTAAAGTTGCTATATTTAAATATTGGTCATTTGAATTAACAGCAAGATTATGGCCATCAAAAGCTCATAAAACCAAGTTAAGTGGTCGTAAATCAGATGCTTTATATCAAGCCAGAATTTCTAAAAGTGTTGCAAAAGTACGTAAAGTTCTTTTAATTTGTAAAGTTTTATTGGCTTTTGAACAAGCAAAGAAATTAAGCACAAAGAAAGCTATTGCTGGACCATCGACATCATCATAACAATATCATATTTACAATATTGTATCGCGTTATTATTTACTAATCATAATCATAAATCATCATTAATCATCATCAAAAAAAAAACAAATACATTAATTCATTATTCATTTTAATTCATTCAATTCATTCACTATCATATATAATTTTTAATGTTTTTTTTAAGTATATAATTTTTTACAAGTATAATTAATAGATGAATCAATAGTAATTAATAGTAATTAATTAATAGTAATAATATTTTTATTATGTAAAAATTTTTGGGAAGTTGGTTTTTCTGGTTTATAAAAATGTAACAAATTTTTAAAAAGCAAATAGATAAATAAATTTTTATTTAATTATTGGTGTGAAATTTCACTCAATCGTAACGAAGCATTACACATGGGACGTACTGAACATTTCTCTACATCCATATTAGATTTTGGAGGTTAAGATGCAATTCTAAAAAAAAAATGTTTGCAGATCTTTTCATGAATGTTTTTTGTGAAGAAAACTAGAGCTTTATTAAATGGTCATACAGCTCCCAAAATTATTGAATCATGTGTATTTTTAACCGCTTCACAAGTCTGCATAGCGCGGAATGTCGGAAAATACTATAATAATAATGTACCGCAAGATAATTTTTTTTGGAGTGTCACATTTAAGGTTTCTGGTCCAAACTATTTTGAAAAAAAGTGGCTTTGACAATAGTTTGAGCTTCTCAATACAATATTTTTTACAAGAATGAACATGAAAAAATTAAAAATAATTTTTCCCAATTTCGGCTATTAATAAAAAATAGTTTGGGCCTATAAAAATTAAATTTTGCCCCAAAGTGTCTCGGCAATTTCGGCTACTAAGAGAAGTAATTTCAACCCAAAACCTTGGTCACATTGACAATGGAAGGGTACGGTTGATGATCACCTTAATATCAAATAGACAATATCAACCTCAACAAACACTTGGTACCTCTCTTTCTACTTCGAATCTAAAAAAACGGATGGGCGATTTATTGTGGATCCACCTTTAATATAGAAGTTGCATTAGATAAAATATGGCCGAATATTTACCCTTTTATCTCAAATGGCATTGAATATATATGGTTATCAATTTCTTCTTGTAGTGTACATAGAACGAAGTTTTTTCTAAATATAATTCAATTTTTAGATGATAATCGTCTTTACAAAGTTTAAATATGCTTTATTTAAATGGTAGTAATTTAGGATTTCTATTTTGTAATAAGAAAAATAACAAAAGTAAATAATAATAATAATAACTAATTTAACGACTGCGCAACTATTCTTTCTGATTACACACCACCAAATTGTTTAACTATAGATTCTTTTTTTTTTTTTTTTTTTTGAAAAATCATAAAACCGCTGAATTACTGCAGAACGCATAGATATTATAACGGAAATTACGCAGAATATAGTAATAGTGTTTTTTAATGCATGGCATGCATGCGGAATTTGTTTTTAGCATGGACAGAATTAATGTTTCATCACTGTAGAAAATCATTATCCCCGGATTTGTTTATGTGTTGTGGCGAGGCATTTTTGCTGTCCTCCTCTTCATGGCGATTTTGCAAAGGTTAATGTTAATAATAACAACATTCTAAAAAGCAAAACAAAAAGTTGAGTTGAAACTGACAAAATATAACATTTCATGGTCACATATAGCAAAAGAAGTACATGCCCGAAAGGCAAAAACATTTGCACAAACCGTAAAACAATGTCACTATCCGACTTTGTCAAAGAGATTATTGCCTCTTTAAGGTGGTAGATATTACTCACAGCACATTTTGTTCCCTATATAAATTGAGAACTGGTCATTTAGCATCGCAATCAAGATGTAAATAACTACAGTGCAGGACACCTAATCCCGCAACTTACTGCGCCACGACGACGAATTTTGGGAAAAAATTTCCAATCAAAAATGCAATAAAAATTGTTTTGTCATGTGATATTTCCTAGTCATT